CCCCGGTTGGAGTGCATAGGAGGCAGCTGATGTATGTTTCTCTCTCACATCCATGTTTCTCCTCCTCTCTTTCCCCCTCCCCTCTCTCTTTTTATTTAAAAAGAAATAAAAGGAAAAAAAAAACCCAACACTCAACAAAGTAAAATTCACAATGTCTAGCATCCAGTCAAGTAATCAACAGGAAAAACAATAAAGTCAGAGGAAGTTAGAGTCTATTAAAAGAGTGTTTACCTCCAAAAGACGACATTAAGGGAGAAACAATAAAAAAGAAACAAAACAACCCAGAATAGACACAGCAATCTTGAGAAAGAATAAATCTGGCCCCAACTGGTGTGACTCGGTTGGGCGTTGGCCCACAAAGCAAAAGATCACTGGTTCCATAAGGAACACTAAATCATTCCCCACCAGGGCACATGCCTGGGCTGCAGGTCCGGTCCCCGGTCAGGGTGTGTGCGAGAGGCAAGCAATCAGTGTTTCTCTCCCACATCCATGTTGCTTTCCCTCTCTTTCTCCCACCCTTTCCCTCTAATAAATAAACAAGTAATAAGATAATCTGCAAAATGCCCTATCTTTTTAAAAAAATAAATAAATTTGGAAGTATCACACTACCTGATATCAATTTACACTACAAAGCTATAGTAATCAAACAGCTTGGTATTGACATAAAAACCAACACGTAGATCAATGGAACAGACTAGAAAGCCTAAAAATAAGCCCATGCCTGTATGGTTAATTAATCTATGACAAAGGAGGTAAGAATATACAATGGGGTATAGCAATCTATTCAATAAATGGGTTTGGGAAAACTGGAAAGATATTGGCAAAAAAATCAAGTTAAACAAACTTCTTACACCATATACAAGATTAACTCAAAATGGATTACAGACTTAATTGTAACACCTGAAACTGTAAAACTCCTGGAAGAAAATATAGCCAGTAAACTCTCTGACATTGCTGTTAGTAATATTTTTTAAATATATTTCCTCAGGCAGGGGAAAAATAAACAAATGAGACTACATCAAACTAAAAAGGTTTTGTCCAGCAAAGAAAACCTACTGAATGGGAGAAGATATTTGTCAGTGATGCAGCCAATAAGGGGTTAATACCCAAAACTTATAAAGAACTTAACACCAAAAAACCCCCCAAACAATCCAATTAAAAAATGGGCAGAGAACCTGAACGGACATTTCTCCAAAAAGGACATACAGATGCTCAGCTGACATACAAAAAGATGCTCAACATCACTCATCTTCAAGCAAATGCATATTAAAACCACAATGAGATACTACCTCACACCTGTCAGAATGGCTATCATCAAGAAATCAACAAAGAGGTGTTGATGAGGATGTGGAGAAAAGGGAACCCTCATGCACTGTTGCTGGGATTATAAATTGGTGCAGCCACTGGGGAAAACAGTATGGAGGTTCCTCAAAAAATTAAAACCAGAACTACCTTATGACCCAGCAATTCTACTTTTGGGTGTTTATCTGAAGAAACCCAAAACACTAATTTGAAAAGATATATGCACCGCTATGTTCACTGAAGCACTATTTGCAACAGCCAAGATAAGGAAGCAGTCCAAGTGCCCATCGATAGACAAGGGGATAAAGAAGAAGAGGTGCGTGCGTGTACACAATGGGATGTTGCTCAGCCATAAGAAAGAATGAAACCTTGCCATTTGCAACGACATGGACCTAGAGGGTATTGTGCTAAGTGAAATAAGTCAAACGGAGAAAGAGAAATACCATGATTTCACTTAAAAATATTTTTACATTCAATATCATTCTATATGAGTTTCAGATGCAGACTCATGGATACAGGGAACAGACTGAGGTTTGCCACATGGGAGAGGTGGGAGGGCTGGGAGTAAGAAATACAACTGGCAGTTACAAAACAGTCACAGGATGTCAACCAAAGCATAAGGAATATAGGCAATCATATTGTAATAACCAGGTATGGTACCAGGTGGGGACTGGACCTACTGGGGGGGCGGGCACACTCCTCAAATTATACAAATGTCAAACCACTATGCTGTACCTCCAAACCTCATATACAATAATACTGAGTATCAACTGAAGCTGAAAAAAAATTTTAAGAGAAAACATTTAAGAAAATTAAAAAAAAAACAGTAATTAGACTTACAAAACATAGAAAACAAACAGCAAAATGGCAGATGTAAACCAATCCAGCCATACCAATAATAAAATTAAGTATGAATGTTCAAACGCCAATGAAAAATTAGAGATAGCAAACTGAATTTAAAAAGACCCAGACCTCCAGCCAAGATGGAGGCGTAGGTGGACACACTGTGCCTCCTCACACAATAAAAAGAAGAGAACAATAACAATTTAAAAACAAAACACCCAGAACTGACAGAAAACTGAACTGCATGGAAGTCTGACAACCAAGGAGTTAAAGAAAAAAAAACCCAAAACACCCAGACCAGTAGGAGGGGCAGAGTGGGCAGGTAGGCGGAGAGGACTCAGGCAAGATGGTGGCTGGTGGAGCGGGTGACCCCACATTCGCACGCAGATAAACCGGGAGGAACACATGGGGAGCGGGATGGTCCACGTGACCCAGGGCCACAGCACGGGGAAATAAAGCTTCAACCTCTGACTGAAAACACCTGTGGGGTTGGAGGTGCCGGGAGAAACTCCCAGCCTCAAAGGAGAGCTAGTTGGAGAGACCCACAGGGTCCTAGAATATACCCAAGCCCACCCACGTGGGAATCGGCAACAGGAGGGCCCAATTTGCTTGTGGGAAGCGGGGGAAGGGACTGAAGAAATTCAGCAGAGAGCGGAGCAAGTGGCACTGTTTCCTCTCAGACCCTGCCCCCACATACTGCATCAGGACCCAGCCACTGGACTGCCCCACCCCGGTGAACACCTAAGGTTCCGCCCCTCACTACAAAACAGGCATGTCAAGATGGGGGTGGGGGGAAGATGGCACAAACAGAAGAACAGATCAAAACTAATGTGACTAAGAGATTGCCAACCTATCAGATGCACTGTTCAAAGCACTGGTGATCAGGATGCTCACAGAATTGGTTGAATTTGGTCTCAAATTAAGTGAAAAAATGAAGGCAACGCTAAGTGAAATAAAGAAAAATATATAGGGAACCAATAGTGATGGGAAGAATACTGGGACTCAAATCAATGGAGTGGACCAGAAGGAAGAAAGAAACAACCAAACAGAAAGGAATGAAGAAACAAGAATTCAGAAAAAAACGAGGAGAGGCTTAGGAACCTCCAGGACATCTTTAAACATTCCAATGTCCGAATTACAGGGGTACCAGAGGGGAAGAGGAAGAGCAACATGTGGAAAACTTATTTGAACAAATAATAAAGGGGAATCTTCCCCAATCTGGCAAAGGAAATTGACTTCCGGGAAGTTCAAGAAGCTCACAGAGTCCCAAAGAAGATGAATCCAAGGAGGAACACACCAAGGCACATCATAATTATATTAGCCAAGATTAAAATGAAGGAGAGAATTCTAGAAGCAGCAAGAGATAGGGAGTCAGTCACCTACAAAGGAGTTCCCATCAGACTGTCAGCTGATTTCTCAGGAGTCCTTGCAGGCAAGAAGGGGCTGGAAAGAAGTATTCCAAGTCATGAAAGGCAAGGACCTACAACCAAGACTGATCTATCCAGCAAAGCTTTCATTTAGAATGGAAGGACAGATAAAGTGCTTCTCAGATAAGGTCAAGTTCAAGGAGTTCATCATCACCAAGCCCTTATTATATGAAATATTAAAGGGATTTATCTAAGAAAAAGAAGATTAAAAATAGAAACAGTAAAATGATAGCAAACTCAAAATCATTAACAACCACACCTAATACAAAAGCAAACTAAGCAAAGAACTAGAACAGGAGCAGAACCACAGAAATGGAGATCACATGGAGGATTAGCAACAGGGGAGTGAGAGGGGGAGAGAGGGTTAAAAGGTACAGAGGATAAGTAGCATAGATGATAGATAGGGGGAGGGCAAGAGAGGTGTGGGAAATGTAGAAGCCAAAGAACTTATATGTATGACCCATGGACATGAACTAAAGAGGGGGAATGGGGGTGGGAGGGGGTGTGCAGGGTGGAAGGGAGTGAAGGGGGGGAAATGGGACAACTGTAATAGCATAATCAATAAAATATATTTTTTAAAAAAAAGACCCAACTATATGCTAGCTACAGAAACCTACTTTAAATACAAAGACAGAGATTTAAAAAGTGAAAGAATAGGGACATATATGCCCTATAAACACTAATCATGAAGAAAGTTGGGGGGGTTAGCCCACACTCTCCTTACCAACCGCACCCTCCTAAACACTGATGGGCAGGGGCCATCTCAGCAGTGGAACAAACCTGCTCTGTGAAAGGAGGGGACCTGGGCCCTGCTTCGCTGAAGACGTGGCCCCAGGGTCAATTCCTTGCTGAGCCCCCATCCTCTAAAACTCCAGGCTTTCTATGCAGGCCCCAGGCCAGGGGCCCAGTACAGAGGAACAGCACAAAGGGACAGACCCTCATCACCACTCTTACCAGAGCGCTGCATGCAACACCCCTTCCTTTAACTGTTCCATACTGGCTGCTATGCCAGAAACTTTCCCCAAACAAGGGTCAGCCACCACAAACAGTGCCTGGGTCTTCAAGTGGAGACAAACGAAGTAATCTTGGGCGACCTACTTGCAGGAGTTCCACTAAAATCACTCTTCGGAGCTCCTGGCACAATGTGGGCACACAGGTCCTGGACACCTGACCGAACCATTGAACTGAATGGGGCTGGAAGGGACCTTCATCTTCAGGCCACCCCTGAGGCATCACCTGGACTCTTCAACTGGAGCTGTTTCCTAAGCACAGGGCTTTCTGAGGGTGAAAGGGCAGGTCCCCAGATGGGTTGGGAGGGGTACAGGGCAGGGGCCCTTGAATGACTAAAGATCCTGGGCAGGGGAAGGAAGCTGCCAACCGTCTTCATAAAGAACAAGATGTTTAGAAGGAAGAAAAGACAGCACTCACCTCAGATCTGGCTTCCAGGAGACCCTGGCCCAATTTATTCTCTGGATTCCCTTTGAGAGGGGGAGCAAGGTCCTGTGAGGACAGAGCTGGGGAGGAGAAATGAGTAAGGGCATGCTGTTCAGCTATAACCATCAGGCGCACTGACCGAGCTGAAAACCACCCCACCCCTGGCACCAGAGAAAATCAGAGGGGCTGGGAACTGCCCCCTCAGATGCAGTGGGGAGCGAGCCCCAATACCTGATACAATCTTACACAGCATCGGGGGGCTAATTCTGCCACTCAGTGTCAGACCTCCAATTAACAAGGAAAAACACTGTCATTCCCATTCTCAGAAAGCATGTTCAAGACCATGGGAACAAATAAATGGTTGTGTACAGCAAAAAGACAGGAGGCCTGATTCTGCTGGTGCTTCTAGGAAACAAGCCCGACCTCTCTTGAGGGTCAATCTCCATTGCAAACCCACACACCCACTGACTAAAAGCCGACTGTACCTGTCTCCTGGGGATTCGGGGCAGGAGTCTCCATGGCGGGCCTTGGCAGCGTCCCCCGGAGGCGTGGGCACCTCTGCAGCCTCCTGGGCCCCAGGCCAGGCCCAGAGAGCGAGTCTTGCTCAGGGAGAGCGGCCTGTAGGGTACCCCCGCAGCCTTGCACGTGTACTCCCGGCTGCACGGTCACACGGGTCTGGCGCCCCGCGGAGGTCGGGGCCAGGCAAGCTCAGGAGTTCCGCAACCCAGGCCGCGTGCACGCCCCATCGCCGCGCCCCACACAGCCTGTCACACTCCTCCCGGGGACACCGCGCGGGGCCGGGCAGGCCTAGGGCTCGGCCACCCGAAGCACACGGAGCAGGTGGGCGCGGAGCACGGCCAGCAGACAGGCTCCGGGGCGGACGGACAGACAGACCGACACACGGACGGAGGGATACATCAACTAGCCGACTGGCCTCTCACAAAAGGACGACGGCAACAACAAAGGAGCAGCCCAGCGGCCGCTGTGGGAAAGTGCGCCTGCGCGGGCCAGACGCAAAATACCACTCCCCTGAGCCTTTGCACCGCGCAGGCAGCGTACTCCATTTCCCAGAAAGCATCGGGGCACCAGGGCGTCTCAGACTTCCCGAAGCCAACGAGCGTGTGGCACACCCTTCTGGGAAATGTAGTTCCGGGGCCAGAAACCTTGCACTCTGGCCCCGCCCCACCTGCCGATCCCGGGCCCGGCATGTGGCAGTATTTTGGGGGCTGGGGTGGGGGTTGTCAGTCTGTGGGTGCGTGCTTGGCCGCTGCTTGTCTAATTGGAGGGGTATCCAGAGGAGGGTGCCCAGGAACGTGGAATTGTCCTGTCAGTGTGTAAGTGTCTTCAGTGGAGTCAGGTTGGCTCTGGCCTACTTTTATTTTTGCAGGAAGGCGGTCTCTAACTCTAGGGATGCTAGAGGTGGTGGGTAGGCCGTCTGAGGGTTTTCCAGTGGCCTGCCCAGGGACCCCGCCCCTTCTGGCGACAGGCACTTGGGGACCCTGGTGAGGGTAGGTGGAGGAGAAGGTAAAGCTCCAGCTCTGCTCTCAGAGCAGGTGTGACCCTGACCTCCCTCCACCCTCAGGGTCTGGGTAGTGGCCCAACCTGACAGAGTGCTCTAACACTGCCACCCGGATCTCTGGCTCAGTTTTGGCCACAAGCTCTGCGCAGCCAATATCAGCACACCACAGCTGTGCCCAGGCCTGCCCTGCTGTGGTAGCTAGCCTCCAGTACTGCCCCCTATAAATCTTGTCTCCCTGTATGGGCACCCTTGTGTAGCATCTCCCACAATGAATATGACTGACCTGTGTTAACAAAAAGGAAATTGTGGAAATGCTGGTGTGTGAATCACGAAGCTGGGTCATGAAGACATTGACTGCAGCTTCAGCCTTGCCCTCTCGGATCGCTTCCTCTTGGGGAAGCCAACACCACATCCTAACGACACCCCGGCAATCTGGGGAGAGGTCTGCCCTGGCAAGAAGCTGCACTGATTTGCCACCCACGATGATCTTGAACGTGGATGCTCCAGTCCCCAGTGATATCTTGACTGCAACTTTATGAAGTATGTTGAGTCAGGACAACACAGGATACTCAGACATGGTATGAATAACAAAGTTTATTGTTGTTCTAAGTCACTAATTTATTGGTCATTTGTTGTACAGCAGCACAGATAAAAATAGTACATGTAATTAATGCAGATAACTAATTCCAGTCCTCGGAAGCAGGATGCTATGAAGATGAAACGGCAGATGTGGGAGAAGCTTTGGAACCAGAAAAGGTCAGACTCAAGAAGGACTTTGAGAAAAGTGATAGTGAAGTGTGAAGTGCAAATCCCTTTGAGGGATCTATGAGAAGTTTTATTAGAAGGTCTTTGAGGAGGCTTTGAATAAGAGCTCAGAGGAAAGGGAGCACTGACTGGGGTCACTCAGTTGGTTGGGTGTTGTCCCACAAACCAAAGGGTCACCAGTTCGATTCCTGGTCAGGGCACCTTCCTGGGTTTTGGGTTCCATCCCTGGTCAGGCGTGTACAAGAGGCAACCGATTAGTGTTTCTCTCTCCAACTGGTGTCTCTCCCTCTCTCTCTTTCTTCCTTCCCCTCTCTCTAAAAATAAATAAACAAAATCTAAAAAATATAAAGGGAAGGGAGAAAGATGTTTTAAGAAACAAGAGAGAAGGAAATCCTTGTTAAATTGTGGCAGAAAGTTTAGCAGCACGGCTGCCCACAGTAACGTGGAACGTGGAAAATGTACCTAAAAAGTTAGATGATGTAGCTGAGAAAAGTTCCTGCCAGTGTGAAGGGTGCCTCCTGGCTTCTTGCTGCTCCTAATAAAGTAGGAGAGGTGATAAATGTGCTTTCAAATAAAAAGAAGCCAGGAACTGCTGGGTTTGAAAATTCCCAGCATTCTCAGATAGCAAAGGGTGCTAAAATTAAGAAATGACCTGTAGGCAAGGGTTATATCTAGGGCACAGCCAGGAAAAATGCTACAAAGATGAATTTGCATGAAAAGAAGTTCAACATCATTAGCTATCAGGGAAATGCACAAAAATACAATGAGATACCATCTCACATCTTCTAGAATGCCTGTAATCAAAGAGAGAGATAATAACAAGTGTTGGCAAGGATGTGGAAAAATTGGGTCCCTCATCCACTGCTGGTGGGAATATAAAATAATTCAAATGCTTTGGGAAACAGTCTGGAAGTTCCCTGAAAGGTTAAAAATAGGATGATCATATGAGCCTCATTCCACTCCTAGGAATATATCTGAGAGAAGTGAAAACATGTACCCACCCAAAAGCTGTACATGGATGTTCACAGCAGCCAAAAAGTGGAAATGACCCACACGTACACCACATGCTTAATGCATAAATAAAATGTGGAATATCTAACGGGATGTTATCCACCAATGAAGAGAAATAAGGGACTGATACCTGCTACAACATGAACAAACCTTGAAAACATTATGCTAAGTGAAGGCGGTCAGTCACAATAGACCACACAGGATATGATTCCACTCAAACTGGCGGCTTCTCCAATGATTCCCTGCGGTCGTTAAAATCCGAGGCTTCATCTGGGCGATACGAAATGTCATCTGGTTTGACTTTTTCTACTACTCTATGGGAAAATTCTTCAGAAATCATTTGCTTCGGATTTGAATCTTTGGTTCCATTTCTTATTTCTTAGCCTGAAATAAAGATGCTAAATCCTTGCAATGTAAGAAATTTCAGTGGGGGAACTGAAGTATAAAGTAATTGTAACATAAGTTTAATAAGCTTTGTCAGCTTTTTGGAGAGAAAAAAAAGGAGGGGAGACAAACATTACCTTGTTGTTCTACTTATTTATGCATTCATTAGTTGATTCTTATATATGCCCTAACTGGGGATCAAACTCACAGTCCTGGCGCATCAGGGCCATGCTTAACGAACTGAGTTATCTGGCCCTGATCAGACAGGTGTAACAAGCTAGCTTTGAGAGGGCAAGGGTGAACCCAAGGCCTGGAGAGGTGAGGCAGGTGAGGGTGAGGCGACCCAGTGGAGAGGGGTGCCATGGGACAAAGAACCAGAAGGGATGCCAGCTGCCTTGGTGCTGCTAAGAGATCAAAGAGAAAAGAGCAGTGACCTTTGGCCACCGGGAGGTGGAGGGGACCCTAATGGGGCAGGCTGACTTGGGTCTTGAGGACTCTCCTCCCAATCCCACCCAGAGAACGATAGGATGTGGTCAACCCAGGTACCAGTGGTCGTGTGGATGGCCTTGACATGAGACCAGTCCAGCTGGCTGGAGAAGGGGAGCCCTGAGGACCCCTGTGTGGGCTGGGCATGTCCCTCTAAGGCAGCCCTCCCCACACAGACGCTCTTTTGCCCCCTCTGTGAGCGAGAGCATGAGGCAGAGACTGGTCAGAGAGCTAGCTCCCAGCTGTAGGGAGACAGTCAGAACCGGGAGGCTGTCCCACCAGAAGCCAGTCTGGGCCCTCAGGGCACACATGGAGGCTGGAAGGCCTGATGCCCATCTGGGGCGGGTTATAGTTGTGGCCCAGACTGATCAGAGCCCCCCCAGGCCAGACATTCTAGGGCTGCTGATGCCAGGACCAGGAAAACAAGGTCATTATCAGGTAATGAGTTCATTTATGAGGTCAGGCAAGGCCATTTCTAGGCAATGAGTTGCCCTTGCACAGAAGCCACCTGCCCCAGGACAGTTCCCTGGGAACACCTAGATACCAGAGTCTCCAGGAGGCCAGCGAACAGTTGCAGGGCCTTCTCAGGGGCAAGATGTGCTGGAGTCCAGCCCCCACAGGAAGCCTCAGACTCTGCAATAAGACCTAGAGTGAGTCACTTCCCCTCTCTGGCCCCTTCTTTAAGACAGGCCATTTGCAGCTCAGGGCCTTCCGGAGTCCACAGACCTACCCTTTATGTCACAGATCCAAGACTAACCCCTACCCCACCCTGGTGGCCTATTGTTCAAGGCAGGCCCTGCCCCCTGCTTTCCCACAGAGGTCCCGTCTAGCTCACCCTTGGGCCCCTCCCTGCCCAGTGTGCCTGCTCCTCACACAGACGCTGCCGGGTGCTGCCTGGCCAGCTTCAGGGACCTCACCCACACCTCCACATGCCCCGCTTTGCCGAGGACCACCAGTTGCTCCTCTGCCCCTTCTGAGGCCACCAGAGCCCTTTAACGTGCAAAGCCTGCCTGGTCCTGCCTGCTGAACTCTCCTGGCTCCCAAGTGCTCTTAGGTTCTGGAAGTAAAACCTCTTCAGGTGGCAGCCAGGGCTTAATGGCCGTGAAGGGCAAGAGTGACAGCAGTTAAGTCACATGGAGGGACTGCCCCTCTTCTCCCCAGGGCTTTCTCTCCTCTGCCCTGCTGAGGCCCCCACTGTTAATGAGCTGATGGGTGGCAAGGCCCTAATGGCCTGGGGCTAGGCTGGGGACAGTCCTGGGTGCTAATGGCGTCTCACAACCAGCCTCCCCACCCCAACAGCTGGCCTGGCCCCTGGCCCTGGGAACAGAGAGGGGGAGTGAAACTGGGAAGGAGCTGGGCCCTGCACGGGGCCCGTCAGCTCCTCTGTGCAGGGAGCCGCTGGGCTGCTTTTCAGGAGGACCCTGAAAGCAGTTCTGTCCCTGCTTCTTGCCTGTAGGGACCACACCTATCTCAGCTCTAACCAGCCAGCCAGGAGGAAGGCTCCCCCACGACCTCCTGGCCTCCAGTCCTGAGCTTCTGCCCCTGCCCTTTCACCCATGAAGCTCGGACCAGGTCACAACTTACTTCTGTCTCCATCCTGACTGCACTTGGCCTCAGGGGCTGAGGGTCATGTTAACCACACCTGCCTGTTCCCCACTCATCCACACCTTGGCAGCCCTTCCAACACTATACTTGCTCCTGTGCAATGTCTCCTCCAACTCGAGGCTTTGGGACCCTCCACCACAAGCCGCCAGCCCCTGCAGGAACTTGAGCTTCTTACTTACTGCAGAGGCTTTGTCCCATCACCCAGGCCCCACCCCCTTCATCAGCCTCACAGCCAGAGACACCAAGGCCTGTTTGCCCAGGCTTCCAGGGGCCCTGGCAGCCTAACCTCCCCCCTCCAGACTCTCAGCCACAGCCACATCGACTGGTTAGCACATCTCGAGTTTCTCCTGAGCCCTCTCCCACACTCCCGGCCTCCTGGTCGACCCCTCCTGGGGATCTTAGGGGACTGCTTCATTTCAGATGGGGACTCCACTTGAGCTCAGAGAGGGCAGAGCCCACAGAGCACACGGCCAGGCTCCACAGGCTGGGGAGGGGACCTAGGGCCCTTTTGCCAGCAGTATTTTAATTACTGGGGGAGGGAGCAGGGGATGGTTAATGAGGCTCCAGGGATCCTCCCAGAACCAGATGCTGGAAGTCCCAGCAGGCCAGGTGACTCAGCAGGAACAGGGTGGTCTGAGGGGTTGTCCGAGGGCCAAGTTCTCACTTCCCCTGTACCTTCCAGAGAGACAGGCTGCAGTGAACAAATGAGTGAGTTAACTAACAAATAGAGGGGACATAGGCCTCTTCACAGGGGCTGGGGCCAGGTCTGCCGGCAAACTGGGTCCACAGCATCCCTCTGCCTCCCCCACCACGGGAGCTGAATAAGGCCAGGCCCCTGTGGGCCCTGGGATGGAGCCGTGCCAGGCCCTCCCTCGCCACAATTGCTGGGGAGGCCCCATGGCACCCAGAGCCTTAACTAGCCTCTAGGGTGCAGTGAGAACAACATGCTGGGTGGGAATACTGCCCTCCAGAGGGCCCACAGCCACACTGCCCTGGCCCTGTGATGGGCAGCACTGCCCGTGGGAAGGCGCCAGGCCCAGGGATGAGAAAGGACAGGGTGTAGTGAGAAGGGGCTCCCACAGAAGGAGGCAGGGACAGAAGAGGCAGCATGGGTGGCCATAAGGGCCTCAAAGGCCAGGTGGAGGGAGCAGGCACACAGGCTGCCCTGGATGGGTGGGAAAGGGGGCGGGGAGGCCTGCCCCATAGGGTCTCCCACCCTAGACTCCTTCATGCAGCATTCGGCATGATTAGCAGCACTTAGTACCACGTGGCCCAGCCCCGTGCTCAGGGACTCTTCCGTGGGCCCTGGTGGACAGAGAACAGGCCACTGAAACCCACTGTGAGGGGTGCTGGGGCGAGAGGCCTGATTACCTGGTCATTGTGGGATGGTCAAGGAAGGCAGCCATGCTGAAGTGGGATGAATGAGGTCGGCCAGGCAAGTGGGGGTGGAGGGCTTTCCAGGCAGGAAAACCGGCCTAAGCAAAGACCCAGAGGGGTGTAGAAGGTTGTTGGGTTGGAGGAGGTTAAAACAGATGTGGCCCCACAGTGGGAGATGGGCTGCGACCTCCAGGGCCTCCTGAGCGCAGGGCGCCAAGCACAGGATCGGAAACTACGGAAGAGCTTGAGTTGAGTGGAAGTGCCCTGACCAGGAGGATTCCTGCGCTGTGCGGGCAGCGGGGCGGGGGTGGGGGTGCGGGGACGAAGCAGGGAGGTAATAGTGATCTGGACTATGATATGGAAGGAGGTGGCTCCGGCCAGTAAGGAGGCTGCTGGGTGCATGACCGCACTTGCTTTCCCCTGACTGATACGGAGGATGTGAGCTCGGTTCCTGTCGCCTCTGCCCAGACGCTGGTCCAGGCCCTTCGTTGGGACCCACCGGCAGGTCGTCCCCGAGGGCAAGTTCAACACACTGCTGCCTGCACTGCTGCCCCTCCCAGGGCCCCTTGGGGTCTGGGCCTTGGGGGGTGGGGGGTTCTCCCGGCCCCAGGCAGGATCCCTCGAGAAACTCGGATGTCCCCACAGCCTTCCCGAGGGTACGCTCCACCGCATGTGGCCCGGGCCCCAGCGGTCGCTAGGCTGCGGACTGGGGCGCCTGGCCAAGCCGGGTGCTGATGGAGCCGGTGGCGGCGGCAACAGCACGTATGCATGGCGGCGGAGTCTGGGCGCTCGTGGGCCCAGGCTCGCAGCACCTATGGTGCGAGCACGGCAATGCGGCGCGGCGTGGACCGCCGGCGGGACCTGGGGCCTCAGCCCAATGGGCCGGTCCCTGAAGAAGCCCGCGCCCCAGGCCGCCTGGCTCGCCTGCGGGGCCAGATCCGGGCGGAGGCAGAGGCACGGGCGGACGCTCCCCGCCTGCTGCGGCTGGTGGAACGCACGGGAGCAGCGGCTGGGGCAGGGGCCAGAGAGGCGGGGGCCGGGGAGCGGGAGGACACGCGCAGCCGTGGCTCCGTGTGCTCCGTGTGCGGGGAGCCCCGCGTCGGGGCCACCTACCCAGCGGGCGTCCTGGAGGTGAGCGAGCGGCGGCTGCAGGAGGGCCTGGCGGCCCTGCGCGCCGAGTTGGGCGCCGAGCTGGAAGCGCTGCGCCGGGAGCTGCAGGCGGAGCTGGAGGCCCTGCGCGCGCTGCTGCCTGCCCCGCCCCAGCCGCCGCCCGCTCGCCGTGAGCCCCGCGCCGCGCCCCGCGGCCCGAGCCTCCTGCGGGCCCTCGGCACCGTGAACGCCCTGGCCGCGGTCACCAGGCCCGCTGACGACCCCTCGGACGGCCCCGCCAATGGCGGCGCGAACCGGGCCCCGGCCCGGAAGAACCTCAAGAAGACGCCGGTGCCCCCCGGGGCCTCGCAGGGCGGTGGGGATTGAGGGCGGCCGCCTGGAGGATGGGCCATGCTGGAGGAGCCACTGGCCAGAGGGGCAAATGGACAGATCTGCCCCCTCGCGGAACCAGCTCGGAGAGGAAGGGTCCTCCGATGCTGCCTGCTGGCGCTCGGGCTTCAGGTGTGGTGGTCGGATGGCGTGGCGGGGAGTGAGGGTGGCCAGCGCGGCGATCACTTCTGGAGATGGAGTCCGGCCTGGAGGGGGCGTGGAGCCCCTTTCGGCCTTAGAGCTGGAGGAGGATCTGGTCTTGGCGTGTGTCAGCTTCCGGGGAGAGCCGAGGGCTTGGGACTCCTGGTCTAGGAGGAGGGGTTGCAGGTTCATTTTTCTTTAAGAGTCTCGGGGAGGAGGTAGGACTTCCATGCGCTGAGATAAAAAGTATGACCCACACAGCAAGTACGATACCTGGGACAGGTGGGCTGCTGGGAAATTGTCACCTGAACACAGTGTCACTCAGACCAGTGTCACCCTGATGTACAGCCACAGTCCACAGGCCACCAACTGGACAGCAGCCTGACTCTGGCCAGCTTCACTCTGCTGCCTGCCAGACCCAGCCTCCCAGAGGATGGCGTGGCCGGGAACAGCCACATCTGGTTGACAGCTACACCTGCGCTCCTGGCTTTGCTTCGGACACTAACCCCTTCACTTAAAGTGGTTTCGCCACAGGCAGTCACCTGGACACCAGCGCCTCTTCAGAAAGTGTCATGTGCACTCAGACTCCACAGCCTAACCTCCCAGAGTGCCACCAGCCGTCCCTGTTGCCAGGACTCGCCCCCCAGGGCAGCCTGCGGTGGGTCCTGGAGCCAGCACTTCTGACTTCCTGGTCTCCAGGAAACTACCTGGAGTCTTCATTTAACCACTAACAGTGACCTGGGGTGGACACCAGCTTGTTTTTGAAATAAAATGTGTAATCTTAGGCTTTAGCAGACGGTGCTTTTAGAACTTGCTTTTTCCCTTCCATCTGACCAGGGGATTCCGACATAATGTGTAGTTTGGGAATGGGGGCAACTTCTTCGAGACAGATCTGGGGGTTCTGAGACCAGCTGTGGTGGGGTAGGGGTGGAGGGTCACTCAGGGGCCTCCCCCGGGTACAAACAGGCACACTAAGGTCCCCGTGGGTTTAAGAACCCCAGTTCTGTGGGAGAGGCAGTGTGTTCTCACCTCCACACTCCTGTCTTGGGCCACGTGAAGCTGAGGTCACTGTGTGTGATCTGGAGTCTAATTCTAGGGTCCCTGCCACAGCCACAGGTGGAGCCCCAGGCCCAGGGGAGCCCCGAGAGGGTCTGGGGCCAGACAAGGGGTGGTGCCGCGGTCCTGCGGCAGCGGGTCAAAGGGTGCCCTCGAGGTGAAGGTAGGAGTCGGCGCGGAAATCAGGCAACTACACAGCTCAAGGCAGGTGATGCTCTGAAGACGTTTATCGAGAATCAAGCAGGGTTTTTATATTTTTCTACTTGGCTAGCAGTTCTGGTTTCATGGGTTTTGTGGTTTCTCAAAGTTCCTGAAACAGGAACTTGGCTGTCTGATCTAAGCTTGTTGACGCAGGTATCCTATTCTTTGTTCCGTGTCTGGGTTAATATTAGAAATGGGTTGGTGGGTAATTACGCCCTCCAGGTTGACCTGTATACTTGTCTATGCCTTTTCTTATTTCCTCTTCTGCTAAGGGCTGTAATTCTTTGAGTTCTTCTAAAATCTCTTTATATCTAGTTGGCCATATTCTAGAGTAGTATCTTAAGAGACTTTTCTTCTATTTTTCTTTGAGCAGTCATACATTTTTCTGGGGTGTTGTCTGATCTTGCTAGTCTTTCTGCCCAGGGTAGGCTTTTTACTGTTATATTTTTCCTATTCTTTGAAACCTATTTTACTCTTATTTTTATCCCAGACCCCATAGTACGGAAGTGTGGGTCTGGGGGGTGTAGGAACTACTTGAAGGCCCTTAGCTCCCTTAGGTGGGTACCACGGCCTCCCCTTAAGGAGATATGCTGGTCCCCATGGAGTTTTTACGGTTGGTGGAATATTCCTGGGTCTATTCTTAGGTTTTGGAGGGGCTTTTGTCCCATAGGGCTATTCCTACGTTGCAGGGGGCTTTCAAGGGTACTTCTTTCAAGTTTCTCTAGGAGTTCTTCTATAGACGTTTTGTACTTTGATTCCCTCTAAGAAAGCAGTGAGATCATCTCCTGATTTCCCAGAGTTTTCTAACTTATCTTGGGTGTTTTTCCAATGATCTGTTACTGATTAAGCTTGAATTCTCAGAATGTTCTGGTTGTTTTTTTGTACCTACATTCCCTGACGTTTCTAGTATGGTATCATTATTCTGTTCATTGAGCCGGGAAAGGTCTAAGCGCACTATCTGAATCACTGCCAGGGTATTCATAATGATTAAAGCAGAAAAGGTCATGATCCCCAAAGCAAGCACAATCACAATAGGTATTGCAGGGCCTTCCATGCCACGTCCACCAGGTTGGAAAATGCTTCCTTGAAGTCTTACACCCCCTCTCAGGACCTTGTCATGGAGAGAGGGATCCAACAGTGGACGCGGCAGTGGACATGGCAGGGTGGTACCAGACAAGGCCCAGACCCTGTGCCCCCAGAGGCTGCTGCAGCAAAGAAGATTCCCCTTGAGCCTGGGGGCCTAGCCCAGGGCATGGTCAGGTGGCTGTATATTTGCCAGGTGGGCGAGGGGCGTGGCTACATTCTGTGGGCTTTTACAGTAGGTCAGAGGGGTGGTGCCCAGGAGGGGGCACCGGTGGGGAACAAGGGGCTCCAGGATCCCCAGGGCCACGTGCCAGCAATGATTGCCAGCTTTTGCCGGAGCTAAAGCTTTACAGAGACTCTCCCACGCCCCCCAAGTAACCATCCTGGGAGTGGAAACTATAAAGGTGCCTATTTAGAGACAAGGAAGGAGATGGTGGCTGGGGACCAGGAATGACATGGCACAGCCACCACGAAGGACATTCAAGGGGTAAGGCACCCTGGGTCCTAACGTCCTTGACCTGCGGGGCTGGAATGGGGAGGGCGTAGGAGGCTCTTCTTCACTGTGGGTGTGAGACACCTCGAGACCAGACACCCTCCTACTGGCTCCCCCTTGGGACCTGGTGTGCTAGAGCTTTTTACACAGGGCTTTACACAGCCCCTCCCAAGGGCCACCCCACTCAGCAGGTCTGTGGGAAGCACAGTCCAGGTGGAGGGAGGCACTGTGCTTCCTCAGCACCTGGGGAATGGACCCCAGGCGGCAGCGGAGCCTGCCTGCTCTCCTGCAAGGTGGGGCTCTGGTACTCTCTTCTACTACTTTCTTCTACCCTCAGTGCGGCCCCGAGAGAAGGCAACATTGTCTAGAAAGAGGTGCACACCCGGTGACAGGGTGCCCTCTGGTGTGAGTGAGACCCTGGCCCCTTTCCAGTCCTGAGAGGGTGGGGCTCCCCCACAGTGGGACAGTGTGGAGCTGTCCATGGTGCTGACGGTGCCCAGGGTGCCCAGGACAGACCGCCACCCCACGGATGTGTCCAAGGAGGGGCCACCTCCTCGAATCTCCTATCCTCACCAAGGGACCCACTGGTTCCTTTCACAACCCTGGTCCTTCCCCATCCTGGCTTGCAGCACTCTGGCCAGGAGGCTGGGTCAGGAAGGTGAGCAGGAGGACCTGCCCAAGGTTGAGTCCACTGGGTGACCCACACCACATATTGGGAAATTAGTGAAAGGACCACTGCCTGAGGAAAAAGGCACAGCGGGGTTTCAGAGACCCAAGCCCCGCCCCCAGGTTCCTCAGGCGGCCCAACCCCACCCCTCCCACCCATCCTCACACCTGCGCCTCAGTCCCAACTTGGCCAGAGCCTCCTGCCCCCAACATGGGCCACACCAAAGACTGACTCCTCCTTTTCCAGAACACAAATTTATTTGGCATTTGGATGAAATGGTTCTCACAGCATCTTAAGAATTAGTGCCAACCCAACCAAAAAGAAACCCAAACTAAAAACCCTTAGAGAAAGGAAAACAAAAAACAGGCATTGAGACAATGTACAGATTTGACCCTCACTTCCACCAGGCAGGTCAGGGTCAGGTCCCAGGGGAGAAGGCCCCTCCCAAGACGTTGCCCTGTCCCTCTGGAGGCCCAGTGCACATGGGGCGGAAAAACCGCCTCTCACAGGGACACGAGTGTCAGCCAGAGTTGGACCATGGAACACAACCAGATCTTACCAAGGGTGGCGACTAGACAGGAGGCCAACGTCAGCTGGGTGGACCACAGGTTTCCCCTGGATGCCCTCACAACTGCCTTCCAGCAGAGCTCCGCTCCTGAGGCCACTGGGCAGCAGGTAGCCTTCTGCACAGCCCAAGGATGCTAGTGGGCTGGACACCCTTGGACAGAGCCCTGGCCAGTCCAGAGGCAGGCCCACCCTCTGCAGCCCCCATGGTCTGCTTCAGGCCTTCTCCTTAGTACCCTCCCGATGCCTGTCCCCAGCAGTCCTTCAGTCCACAAAGGAAGTCCCCCAGTTCCACACATCTGGTACCAACCACCTTGCCTTGTACACACAGTTGAGGCCTGGGCCAGAAGGACCCCGTGCTTGGGGGCCAGACCCTATGGGGCTCCATTAGGGTGGTTGTTTCAAAGGAGGCCTGCTCAGGACCCTCACCCAGCACCAAGGCCTGCGACTGCTGCTCTGGAACGCAGCTGCCCTGCACCCAGCACATGCTGACAGTACCATGTACTTCCTGCTTTGTTTCTGGCAGCTGGCGTGGGGCACATGTGCCCAGGATGCCATCTGCCTCCTATGGGCCGCACCCAAGGACAGGGAGTTCAGTGGTGAAACTCACACCTCTGGCTGGCCTGTCGGGCAACTCTGAAACCCCACTCCATAGTGAAAGGACAAAATGGGCCTTCCAAATGGAGTGTGAGCACGTGCCCAGGGCTGAACTGTGCCTCTGAGGTGCACCTCGGAGCACCCACTGCAAGTCAACTCTCCCTCGCTGTGTGCTGGTCCAGAAAGGCTGCAAGGGGGCCCAGGAGCAGGGCTCCGTGCTCTCAGAAGAGGCCGAGGCCCAGGCCCAGCCCCAGTGCCGCCCATGTGGCCACGGCTGGCCTGGGAAACTGAGGACCTAGTTCCCATGTACCATCACCAGCTGCAGACACACACACACACACACACACACACACACACCTTGACATTCAACATAGAAAAGATATGGATGTGCTGAAAAATCGCACAGAACCCGCTTAATCTCCAAACCTCAGAAATGCTAAAAGCCTGGTGTCAAGTGGAGACAAGACCACTGCCCAGGAGTAGGCAACAGGGTCCCTCAATCAAAAGGCCCCTGGGCAGGGCACCCAGCACCCTGTGCTGCTGAGGACAGGAAGGTGGCATGCAGCCACCGGGCACTGGGCTCCAGCAGTGGCGGTGGCATGCAAGAAGTGGACTTTCAGGAGGTGGACGCAGGCCAGGACTTTAATATCAGCCACCCCTGCCAAAGAAACAACCCTTTATGGCACAAAAAAGTGGGGTGGAGGCAGGCCAGGCCCAGGGGCAAATTTAATAGGAGGGGGGCTCCAGAGGGTAAAAAAAGAGGAGCCAGCTTAGCCCCAAGCCCCTCATGCAAGGCTAACGGCCTCGGCCTGGATCCACAGCCACCTCCTGGGGGGCCATGCACAGCAATGTTGGGGAGAAACCCGAAAGACTAGGGGTGAGGCTTTCCGGCACAGGACTGGGCTTTGCAGAGCCCAGCTGGAAAGACAGAGTGGAGATTTTGGCTTCCTTCCAAGCTCTCCTTCTTAGGGTCTTGGGACCAGAGTCCCAGGCCAGCCTCTAGCCCGGGCAGGGTCACCCTCAATATCAAGCTGGACCTGTGGGGGGACCACCCCCCAGTGCAGCCACTGTAGCACCTCCAGGGCCACCTGTCCAGCAGCAGACCCACTGCCCAGACGACCCCTGACAGCCCCCACGCAATGGTGCCCCCAAGTGCCATCCTGAGCAGTGGCCAGCGAGGCACACCATGGCGGCAGCTGTGGGGCTCGCTGGCTGGGTGGCGGGCTCCTCTGGACGACATGCTGTGGTGAGCAAGCCCGCTAAAGCCTGGGGTGGTCTGGCCCCTGCCCAGGCCTACGGTGCCTCTTTGTTCCCTACTTCTGAAACGTGTGGTATGAACAAACTTTGTCACCCTTCTGCCATTTAAAAAGAAAAAGACAGTGGCCCAAAGCTACGCATGTTCTGAAGCCCTCAAGGAGATGCGGTGTAGGCGCCTACTCCCTCAGGAGGCAGGCGCAGTCTCTAAGCACACGTGCACACCCCAGGGGGCAGCAGTGCTGTCGCGTCCAGGCTCACGCAGGGCCCTGCAAGCCCCCCTCGGAACCAGTTTTCCTGATGGCAAACAGGTGCTCCGTGCCCCTTGGGGGCTGTGGGCTGGGCACCCCTACACCATGGTGTTGAGGGAACTGTGGCTGTGGCCACCCCCCGGCAGTGCCTCTGTGGCTTGGGGGGTCCCGCTCTGGGCAGGGCCAGGAGGCATGAGCAGGGTGCTGCTGCTGTCAGCTGAGCCTTCCAGGTCTGCCAGGGAGACCCCTGTGGTGGGCAGAGGCTGCTCCAGGTGCTGGGGTGATGTGCCTTCGCTGCCACCATCCCCTGGGGTCGGCGGGCTGGCCTCTGCTGGCTCAAAGGCATCGTCGTCTGCAGGAGGAGACAGAGGTGTGTCAGCAGGTGGGGGCCCGACATGAGGGAAGAGGACACGGAGACAAGCTGGGGGCACTTTTCTCGCCTGAACGGTCCCACTGAGACTGCAGCTCTGCTGTGCTCGCCCCTCACCCTCACCACAGATTCGGGCCGTCCTGGTACAAGGTGCAGGGGAGAGGCAGCATGACGGGCCCAGAGCAGGCAGCCCTGCAAACGGTGCAGGGGCTGCAGAGCTCTTGCCTGCACCCCCAGCAGCATCCCCGGCAGGAAGCTTGTTCTACCCTGGTCTCCTTGACAGCAGATGGTGACAATGTCCTGAGGGCCAGGGTCAAATCCAGATTTCTCCTGCCCGCACCCTCCAGGGTGGTACGAGCTGACCAAATGAACAAACAGGACAAAGACCATGGCAGTGCTGGCCTCACAGTGCCATCCTGCTATGCCGCGTGGGCACGCAAAGAGCCAGCCGCCATGGGACGGGACACCACCTGTGATGTCTGCCAGGGGCGTGTGTGTTAAAGGGAGTGACAGACACGGAAAGGGTGAGACATCTGCACTGCACACTGGAGACAGGAACAGGCCAGGCAATGGGCGAGGCACCTGAAATCCCCTTTGCTGCACAGCCCCTGGCCCGACATCACAGAGCCAGTGTTTCTTCCCGTGTCACAAAGCTGCCTCAGGACACGAGGAGCTGTCACGTGGTGTCTCTTCAGCTCACCATGTGTGTGCACATGTCTTTACAGCCTCTCACTTGGCTCTGGGCCAGCCCTGCCCCCAGGGGGCCCAGGCCTGGTCCCCAGCTCTCCAGAGCCAGGACTAGGTGTCTGAGGGCTGTTTGCTAATAGGTGTTTCTGGGAAGGATGCAAGGGGCAGTGTGACCACTGTCAGCTGTCACCTGCACATTTGACCCTGGGAAGTGCTTGTTCACTGACAGATGGCAGTTCAATTTAAGGGGAAAGCCAGAGATAGCAAGAGAAGGCTGGAGGAGGTGGGGTTCACAGCCCCGTGCACTGGGGCAGACCCCTGGGCCTCAGGTCCTGCAGGCCAGGTGGTGGCGACAGGCTGCCCCCTCTCCCTACTGGGGAAGCACCTGTAGGGTCGTAGAACACGCTGTCGGGGTTGATGGAGGCCTCATAGGGTGGTGGTGGGTCATCGGGCTGGTCAATATCTGGGTACTTGTACGCAGTGTAGGGGGGTGGAGGGTCGTGGAAGTGGAAAGTCCCGCCTTCTCCGTCATCAGAAAGGTGTAGCGGCGTGAGGCCTGTGCCGAACCCGTCTGGGCCGTAATCAAAGCCAGGGATCCTCCGGCCAAGGTTGAAATGGTGCACTGGGCAGCGGAAGCCAGAAACAAGCAACAGAGTCATGTCACTCGATGCCCTCGCCCCCAGGCCCAGGCTGCAGACACCCTGACCATCGCACTTCTGTGCCTAGCTGCCCACACGAGAGCCCGGAACTTGTCCAGGCCCCTCCCCTCGGCACCTCCGCCCGTCACCGCATGCAACAGGTCTGCCTGCTGTGCTCCAGCCCTCGCCACACCCCTGCAGCTCTGACATGTTTCTGGGCATCTAACCCACGACTGCCTTGGAGTTCTGCCCACCCTGCAGCTCAGTGAGAACTGAGGAAGGTCTCAGGAAAAACTCGTCAGCCCACATGGATGGGGAACTGCAGAACCAAAGCTGGTGAGGTCGCTCAGCATTCTTGCCACCTCCATTCTGAACTCTCTCCTGCCTGCCTGCCCCACACAGGACTGGGGAGCCCAGGCTGGCTCACTGAGACACAGGGGGATTTCAGAAGTTCTTCTGGGGGCTTAAGTCACTGCAGGCAAATTGGACTAAGGGGGCTGAGATGTACTAAGTTGCCTATGACCATGGGCATCTTCTACTCTCTTGTGGGAGGAGCCTGGAGTTGGCTGGCTCTGGAGGTACGCCCTTCCTCCACATGCCCATGGCCTCTGATTTTGGGTCCTGCAAAGAGTTCCTTTAGTGCCCCAGGTATGCCCTCAGCCCAGGAGCAGGTGGGTGGGTAGGACAGGGACGCCTTTTGGCACCCTCTATTATGTCCTCCCCTTCTTCCCTGCCCCTTCCTGCTTCCTGTGTCCCCATCGCCCCTGGGGACACAGCCACGGGCAGGCCTGTGACCGTCATAGCAGGGACTGGGGCACTCACGGTTTGCTCCAATCAGGGACTCGATGCGCTCCCGGCGCCTCTGGCGTAGCCGGTGGACCATGAAAAGCAGCAGGGACAGGATGAGGAAGGAGGAGATGCAGCTCACAATGAGGCGCATCCCGCTGGCCATAGAGTCGAACAGGCTATTCCCATCTGTTAGAGAAGAAACCCGCTGCTCTCAGGAGCTTCGTGCTATGAGAAGGCTCAGCCTTCCACCATGGCACTATGAGGACAAGGCAACTTACTGCCCGACGCAGTCTCACCCCGACAAAGACAAAAGAGCCCAAGATCAAGAACACTGCAGTATCAGCACAGAAGAGATCATGGGCCAGGAAAGTTTCTAATGTGACTGGGCGATGTGCTTCTCCACCTACTGCAGGTGTCAAGAGTGGGGGCCTGGCCTCCCCCCGGCTCATCTGTGTTGCGTGACCAAACATGTTCCTTCAGGAGCAGCAGCTCTGATACCTGTTGCTTGCAAATGCCCAGGAAGCCTGGTGAGCAAGGAAGCCACGTTCCAGGACCAGCATTTCTGAGCACGTTTTCCGCGGCAACTCTGTACCCCTCTCCCCCTGGGATATTCAGTGATGTCTACATACACTTTTGATCATCACTGGGAGGCAGGGGTTGGGGGGAAGGTGTGTGCAGAGGTACTACAGGTGTCTGGCAGGTAGAGGCCGGGGACAGGCTCAACACCCTGCTGTGCACAAGCCAGCCCCACAGCAGGGTGTTTGTCCCCAATGTCCACAGTGCCCAGGTGGAGACACCTCGCCTTGCCCCACTGCTCAGCGGGGTTTCTCAGGTGCTCACCATTGAAGCTGCTGAGCCATGGTGCTCACAGGACAGGTGTGAAGGAAGAGCACTAGTGCTTGCCAGGTGTCTGGATGTGACAGCCATGGCCAGGTCCTTTCACCCAAGTAAGATGGGCCGGTAGCACCAAGTCACAGAGTACTGGGAGCCAGGCAGGGTCCTGGGAATACCTGTCTCCACAGACAGGGGGCAGACGCAGGAGGCACTGGGGGGAGAGGTGACCCAGACAGAGCCCTCGGAAGTAGTAAACCTCTGCATGGGCGGAAGGGCTGAGGACTGTCAAGTCTCCGCGACAGCCACATGGCAGGTCCCCAACTACACTTCACAGCCAACACAGGCCCCACGTGTGAGAGACCAGGCTCGCAAGGCTCTCCTGTCGCTCTCGCGGGCCCAGCCTGCTCTGTGCCAACACAGGTGGCCAGAGCTCACCCCTACCCTGCACTCCCAGGGCCAGAGAGCTTCCTCCAAAGCTGCATTTATTGGTGACAACACTGGAAGTGAGCATGTGGAAAGGATACATCCTCTCACTAATCACCTACTTTTTGTGAGGCCTTTAATCCTCTTCCAGTTTTAAGGGAACATTTCATTCTGCCCCAGGAGGAAGCCCGTCAGCCTGGGGGCTGCTGACATGTCTGTTAACTGGCAGCCAGCTCAGCGATCCCAGTGAGGTACCTCATGTAGCAGCCCCTTTGCAATAACTAACTCTTCACTGGTTCTAAAACAAACCCAAGGGCATGGTCAAGGTCCTTGATCACCTTTCTACAGTGGTCACCAGGAAGAGGCATGTCCTAGAACCAAGCCACCTGCAGTCAGACACAGAGACCACTTTCCAAGGAGCCAGAGGGCAGCCCAGGGGTCCCTGTGACCCATGACATGACTGGTCCTTTCATGGAGCTCTTGAATCCACAGAGGACACATCCTGCTAGGATAGACGCTGTTGGAACTAAAGGTGCCCCAGAGTCCACCAGGTCTGACGGTTGGTCTGATGTCTGAGTCCTCCCCAGGCTAATGTGCAGAGCCCCACACTGTCACTGAATTCAGTGGCAAGGAGCCAGCTCCAAATCTCTGCTGGAGATAGCAGATGGGGCGGAAGCTTAGAAGGAACCAGAGGTCTGTGTCCTGGACCCTAACGTGTGCTCTGCTACAGGCTGCTGCCCAGCAGGGCACCCCTACAACGGGAGGGGAGAGCCCTGGGAGACAGGTGGCCCCGCGCAGTTCCAGGGCCCATGAGCTGTGGAGCCAGCGTGGTCTCACTGTTTCCCTAATGACCTGTCTGATGAACATCCTTTCAGGTGCTTGGCTGCTGCCTTGTATTTTCTTTGGTGAGGTGTCATTTTAAATATTTTGCCCATCTTTAAAGAGGGTAGGTTGTTATCTTTTTTGAAATATTTATTTTTCAATTTGTTGATGTACATTATCTTGGATCCAGGTATACAACCCAGTGATTAGACATTTCTGTAACTTAGAGTGATCACCTTGGTAGATCCAGCCCCCATCTGACACCAGTTTTTACAGTACTGTTGACCACGTCCCCCGTGCTGTACATCGCACTCCTCGTGACTGCTCTGTAACTACCAATTTGTATTTTTAATCCCCACACCTTTTTACCCATTCCCCAACACCCCCCCATCTGGCAAACGTCAGAATCTTCTCTGTATCTACGAGTCTGTTCTGTTTATATCCTTTTTTAGATTCCACGTACAAATGCAACCATGTGGCGTTGGTCTTCCTCTGACTTATTCCACTCAGCACAATACGCCCCAGGTCCATCCATGTTACTGCAGATGCAAGACTTCATCCCGTCGTTTATGGCTGTCACACCCCACCGTATGCACGTGCCACCTCTTCATCCACTCACCTGTGCCGGACACGTGGGCCGTTCCCCTGTCTTGGCTATTGTAAATAATGCTGCAATACACAGATGGACACACACGTCTTTTCAATTTAGTATTTTTGGTTTCTTTGAATAAACGCCAAGAAGTGGAACTGTTAGGTCCTTCTTTGTCTCTTGTTTCACAAGTCTATTTTGACTGGTATAAGTATTGCTACCCTAACTTTTTTTCATGTCCAGTTTTATACAGTACCTTTTTCCACCTCTTTACTTTCAGTCTGTGTGTGACATTCTGTCTGAAATGACTCTCTGATAGACAGCATATGGAAGGGTCTTGTTTTCTTATCCATTCAGCAACTGTGTCTTTTGATTAGAGCATTTACCCCATTTGCATTTAAAGTAATTGTTGATAGACATGTACTTATTGCCATTTTATTATTCCTGTTTTTTAATCTGTTTCCCCCTTCTTCGAGATGACACTAACATTTCTCATAACACCTTTTTCATGATGAACTCCTTTACCTTTTTCTTGTCTGGGAGGCTCTTTATCTGTCTTTTGATTCTAAATGAGCTTTGTTCGGCAGAGTAATCTTGGCTGTAGGTTCTTGCTTTTTATCACTTTGAATATTTCATGCAATTCCTTCTGGCCTGCAAAGTTTCTGTTGAGAAACAGCGGAAAATCTTAAGGGACCTTCCTTGTAAATAATGTTTTTCCTCTTGCTGCTTTTAGTGTTCTCTCTTTGAGGCCCTGGCCAGGTGGCACAATTGGTTAGAGTGCTGTCCTCACACAACAGAGGACAAGTTGATTCTTCTCTCTCTGAAATCAATTAAAAATTCTTCTTTTTGTCTTTAACCTTTGGCATTTTAATTATGATATGTCTTAGCGTGGGCCTCTTTGGGTTCATCTTGTTTGGGACTTTCTGTGCTTCCTGGATTTGTGTGTCTATTTCCGTTACCAGGATAGGGAAGTTTTCTGACATTATTTTTTCAAGTAGGTTTTTAATTCCTTGTTCGCTCTCTTCCTCTGGCACACCCATGACGTGAATGTTGGTGTACTCAAAGTCACCCCAGGGGCTCCTTAAACTATTCCCATTTTTTTCATTTTCTGCTTTATCTTCCAAATCACTAATATGATCCTCTGCTTTACCTACTCTACTTTTGGTTTCCTGTAACGTACGCTTCATTTCAGTTACTATACTCTGCTTTTCTGGCTCGCACATTTTCTGTCTCCATGTTTGTTGAAGTTCTCACTATGTTCATCTACTCTTCACCCAAGTTCATTTCACATCCTTATCACCAGTGTTTTGAGCTCTGCATCTGGCAGATGGCTTGTCTCCATTCTGCTTGTCCTTTACCTGGAGTTTTATTCTTTTCTTTCATTTGAGATGCTTCCTTGTCTCCCCATTTTGGCAGCCTCTCTGTTTGTCTCTGTGTGGTAGGCAGAGCGGCCTCATGCAGCAGTCATGCTGGGGGGCCCAGAGATGCAGCACCCCAGGTGACCCAAGCAGAGGCACTTCAGATACATCCCTCACCCCCCATGGGTTCTTTGCATCCTCCTACTGTAGTGGAGCCTTAATGGCTATTGGCACATCGGTGGGATGGATTTACCTCCAGGCCATGAGGACTGGCCACAACCAGTGCAAAGGCCAATTTCACAGAACAGAACTTACTGAAATGTACTGTTCATGCAGGTGGCTGGGTGATGCTCTGACTGAAGCTACTCACTGGGTGTGCTGATTTTGGGGCTTCCTAGGAGGTACAGGCCAAGGTACCCCTGCCCAGGACCACCCAGCATAAGCTACAAAATGATCTGCTGATGGCTGCCACTTGTGTTGAGCCCAGAGATGCCTGGGAGGGGCCAAGATAGGAACTGAGGTCAGATGCTGCTAATGCTGAACTTGGGGCTGCTTAGCAAGAAGTACGAAGCAAGCTGAAGCCAGAAGCTTCTTGCTTGTGGTGTGTGGATCTCTGAGATTGTAGCAATGAACTGAGACACACCATTTGTATGGAAAGCCATTAGGAATGGTGTGGGTGGGCCTGCAAGTTGGACAGGGCAGGGTCTCAGGGGGTCCCCAGGGTGGGCTGAACTGTATTAGCCAGGCTGATGGAGACTCAGACTGGCACCAGCCTGCTAGCTCTGTGTGGAGAGGGCACAGCGAAGGAACAACAGCCTCTGCCAGCACTTCTGCCTGGGAGAAAGGTGCCCCTCCAGTCCCTGCCCCCAAACCAGACAATTCATTTTGTCCCCATCTATCCCCAGCACCTTTTGAACTCCTGCCTCAGTGCTAGAGCTCAGTCGAAAGTAAATCTGTGCGAGCCCCTGCAGAGGAACGCTGGGGACTCCAGCAACCCTCCACCTCACTCAGCTGCAAATTTGCTGGTTTTCACAGCCAGCAGTTATGGGGACTTCTCTTCCTGGCACTAGAACCCTGGGCTGGGGAGCCTGGTGTGGGCAAGAACCCTTGCTCCCCAGGAAAAACCTCCAAAGCTGAGATGCCCCAATTTTTAACTATCACACGTGGCTGTGGGAGCAGTCCACTCAGAGTCTCTGCCCCTCCTGCCAGTCTTGACAAGGCTTCTTTAAATCCCTAGTCATAGGACTTCTGTGCAGCTAAGTTTCGGGCGGTGCCCCATAATGGTTAATCTCCAGTTTATCTGTACTGATGATGTGGTTGTGGGAAAATAACAGCACTGCATTTTCTTACTTTGCCATCTTGACTGGAAGCCCCCAGCTAGTAACTTGTTTTCTTATTACTGAGTCTTTTGAGTTCTTTTATATACTCTGAACACAAGACCCTTTGATTTGTGTTTTACAAATATTTTTCCTTAGTGGTTTATCTTTTCATTTCCTTAAATGTCTTTCAAAGAATAAAAATTCAATTTTACTAACGTCTTAATCAGTTTTTCTTTTGAGGGCCATACTTTTGACGTTGCATCTAAAAATGTTGCCTGTGTACCTCTGTCAGATAAGAACTGACCGTGTAAGTGTGGCAATCCGTCTACACTCTGTTCTGTTTCACTGATCTATGTGTCCATTCTTTTGTGAACACCACACTATTTTGATTACTATGACCGTATAGTAATTTTAAACCAGGTATCGTGAAACCAACCTTGTTCTTTTTTTTAAAAGATTTTATTTATTTATTTTTAGAGAGAGAGGAAGGTAGAAAAAGAGATATCAATGTGTGGTTGCCTCTCACATGCCCTCCACTGGGGACCTGGCCTGCAACCCAGACCTGTGCCCTGACTGGGAATCAAACTGGTGACTCTTTAGTTTGCAGCCCACTGAGCTACACCAGCTAGGGCAGCCTTGTTCTTTTAAAAAAAAAAATGGTTTGGCTGCCCTGGCTGTTGTGGCTCAGTGGACTGAGTACAGGCCAATAACCAAAATATCACAGGTTTGATCCCCAGTCAGAGCACATGCCTGGGTTGCAGGCGGGGTCCCCAGTAGGGGGCGTGTGAGAAGCAACCACACATTGATGTTTCTTTTTTCTCCTCTTTCTAAAAATAAATAATAAAATCTTTAAAAAATGCTTGGCTATTCTAATTCTTAAATTTCTGTGGAAAGGGAAGGGAATCAACTTGTCTACGAAAAACATGCTGGCATTTTGGTTGGGACGGCATTGAACCTACAGATGACTGGGGGAGAGTTCACCTCCCAATGACACTGTCTTCTGATCCAAGACTGTAGAATCTCTTATTTACGTCTTTGATTTTGGTCATCAGTATTTTATTGTTTGTGGCAAACAGCGCACATACTTTGTAAGATTTATATCAAAGTATTTCATGCTTTTTGGTGCTACTGAAATGGCATTTTTAAAATTTCAATTTCCAACTGTTCACAGGTAGAACAGGGTAGGGCAAAAGGAGGTTACGGATGTTTGTATGAAAAATATTGTTAACAATACAAGAATAAAATGTGTTTTGCACACTCACAACTGTAAACCTGCATTTGCCCCATCCTGTGTATGTAAATACAATGGGTTTTTTTATTGGCCTTGTATCTGGACACTGCTAAACACAGTTATTAGTTTCCTGTTGATCCTCTGGGATTGTCTATGCAGACAATCATGTTGTCTACAAAGAGAGGTCATTTCCTTTCTTCCTTCCTAATCTGGATGCCTTTCTACTTTCTGGTACTGCCCTTGATATCCTGTACAACTCTGGACAGAGCAGTAAGAGCAGACATTCCTGCTTTGTTAGAATGGACACTGTCCCGGTGTCCCCAGCGTTGGTGTGGTGGCAGTATCTCCCCCTGGGGCAGTGCGGGCACTTACCAGGCAAAGGCACTCAACCGGAGAGGCTGTCAGGCGCCTGCAGAAGCAAGGCTGAAGCAAGGGGCAAGGGCAAGGGCAGGCCCTGGCCGAGCTGCTCTAGCTACACAGGGGAGTGGCCTGCAGCAGCTCTGGGCCTGCCCGGATGCCCGAGGGCCCTGCTCAGGGGTCCAGAGATGGAAGAGCTCCCTAGGCCACACGTGCTTATACGACACATGCCTGGTCCTACATGGCCTCTGCCCTCTCCGCAGCCAGCTGGGCGCTTCTGACGGGGCACCCCCTTCTGCTGAGCCAGAGGCAGCCTCTGACACTGCCCTGCCCTTTTGCCAGCAGCCTCCCTCGTGTGCGAGGACACAGACAACTCTCCACTTGGGGAGAGTTCTGGTTGTGGCCCTCCCGTGAAAGTTCCATTTCTCACTGAACCAGCCCCTCCTCCACAGGGACCCCACCCACGCTGCTTTTTGGTCGAGTTTGTGAGTCCAGGGCCTTCCACAGTCTCTGCCCACTCTTGCACTGTGGCAGCCAAGAAAGAAGAAAAAATCATGCTTTTGATTTACATTTCTCCTGAGATCGTGAATTCATACAGAGGTGCCAACTGCACTGGTGTGGAGAACCCACAGTGCCCTGTATGAAGTCTGATGTGTCCCAATGGCCCTGCAGAGCAGAAGCCCCACTTGCTGCTCTTTTTTTTAGAAGTGGAAGGAATGTCCCTCAGAGACCACATGGCTGCATAGTGTCCACCTGCAAAGCGCCACCTAGTGGGGGGTTTTATCATGAAACTGAGGGTAACGATTTATTACTTATCTTACAGATTCTAATAGTAAAAACTGATGATGACTGTAAGCAATAAAAACTGTCATTACCCACCACATCACCATACTGAGAACAGAAAGGACTCAAATGGGGAGGTAGGTTGGAAGTCTTGTTCTTAGTCTTTAAATGAGAGGAGAAAGACAGGCCTGAAGACATCAGTAACAGTTGATTTGGGAACATACAGCCACATTCAAGTTCATCAGTGAATGAATGATACCTGTTACCTGAGAGCCGACCTGCAAGGCAGCAGTTAGCGGAGGCCAGGTTGTGTGAGACAGACACATGCTGGTTGGAGTGTTTGCCCATCACAGCTCTGTGTGCAAACGATGCCACTGCAGCTACACCATGCGTAGTTAAGCTCTCACAAATCCCTGCCACTGAGGAAGCAGCAGGTCGCGCAGCCCCTGGCCCCGCATGGGGAGGCTGACTCGTGACCCACCATCGGTCTCACCTGGGTCCAGGCACATGAACTTGCAGCACTCCTTGGGGTCCTTGCGGTACTGCTGGCAGCCCTGCGGCCGTTCGCAGAGGGCGGCCACGCACATCTCCGGCTCCCCGCGATGGCAGGTGCAGCTCAGACATGGGTCATCGCCCTTGGGGGTGAAGTAGAGCCCTTCGTCCACCACGTTGTCCTTGATGTCGACACACGTTTGACCTGCAGCGGCGCGCACACACACACACACACACGTGTCACCAGCAGAATCAGCTCTGACTCACCCCACAAACGTGACAACAGAGGAGCTGGCACGGTCGGCCAGAAAGGCCTCCCATTAGTGGCTGTTCAAGAGAGGTCACTGCAGCACTCTGCTAGGCCGAAGCACACCTGCCAGGGCGCCCCCGGCCATGAGCCTGGACAGCTGGGACGGAGGCGAACACCAGACGCCAGGTGAAGGCACATGGAAGGGTCTGCTTTTAAGGTGCCTAAGCAGTTTAATTAAAAAAAAACAAACTTAAATTTATTTTTAGAGAGAGGAGAAGAGAGGGAGAGGGAGGGAAACACCCGATCAGTTGCCTCTCACACACCACTAACCAGGGACCTGGCCCACAACACAGGCATGTGCCTGACTAGGAAGTAAACCTGCGACCTCTCGGTTTGCAGGACAGTGCCCAACCCACTGATCTGCGCCAGTCAGAGTTAAGTTAAGCAGTTTACTTTTGTGAGTTCCTCAATGCTAAGATGTAGCTGCTACATGTATTAACCATTTAAAAATCAAAATGTATCTTAAAACTGTTTAAAATTTATTTATCTACAGAGAGCGGAGAAGGGAGGGAGAAAGAGGAACATCGACTGGCTGCCTCTGGTACGCATCCTGACCAGGGGCCAAACCTGCAGCCCGGGCATGTGCCCTGACCAGGACTTAAACCAGTGACCTCTCGTTTTGCATGACGATGCCCAACCAACTGGGCCACACTAGTCAGGGCAAAATCAGACTGTTTTTGAATGAGCTGCCCAAGCTGCTGCTGGTACTACTCGGGAAGGTGGTCCGCTCAGTCCACACTGAGACAGGACTGGTAAACTGTGCAGAGCCGACCTGGACTGGACTTAGAGGAATGACTGTGGCCAGAGTTGGGAGTGCGCTGAGAACCTGGAGCCCGAGCTGGCAGACATGGCAGATGCCTGGGAAAGGGACTAAGATGAGGTGGAGGTGGTCTCCAAAGGGATTCAGGTTCAGTGAAACACAAAGGGACATGAAGCGGAAGTTGGCTCTAATCTCTAAATAGGGTAGGGAAGCCTACAAATACGCTTCAGAAACCCCACAACCGTTGGTCTGTGCCTCACCGAAGACTGGAGTCAAACCTACATTAACTCATGCAGTCAGGAAATTCCAGGTCAGGAAACTCATGTAGCACCGTTCTCTGCTAGACCAGAGAAGAAAGGATGAGGAGACATAACCGTTGTCCAGGTCACGGAACTGAGAAGCAGGCCAGCCAGGCTCATCCCAGCCTTGGGTCCCAGCCCAGGCTCCAGCCCTCACCCTCTGGGCACCTTATTGCCCCCAGAGTTGTGGGCTGGGCACAGTGCGCCTGCTATAAAATGGGCAGGTCCACTCAAGGTCAACACCAAGGATCAGAAATTAGAAGACCCTGTTCTCACAGGAAGCACTGTTCCTCACAGCTCACTAAAGGAGTCCTGGTCAAGGTGGCTTACTTCTTTTACAAAGAAACGAAGACTTCTCGTAGCAGTTCTCGGCGTGCCAGCTGTGCAAGTCGTGGTGGCGGAGGGTGGGGAAGTGGAAGCAGTGGAGCTGGGCACAGAGGATGCTGTCGCTTTCAGACATGGCCGAGGTGAGTTTGGGGTCTGGGGGCAGGAACACCTTTGAGGAACCTGTGGGGGAGACAAAAGGGAGGGCCATTCCAACATAATGTCAACATCCCAACCATGGGCAGTCTGTGCGGGGACCAAGGCCTCCTAAACGGGACCATCGATCAGAGAGCTCACGGACCACCAAGCGGAGTTCACTCCCAGTCTCCTTTAGCTTCACTGAGCACAGGTGTGGGCACCGGGCCGACAGAGGCCGCACTCCTGTGGAGTCAGGGAGGCGAGCACATGGGCAAACCGTGCTGGGCTGGGGGGCGCTGAAAGGTACAGCAACAACGTGCAGGGTGAAGTCAGGGGTTGTACCACAGTAATGAAACTGTGTAAATCCACATGGATAAAATGAACATAAATAAGTAGGGAAAGGGAGAGAAAAGTTCTTCCTCACATCAGAGTATCAGCTGTTACAGAAGGACTCAAGAAGCAGCCGCCAATGCATTAATTTAGGCAGGACTGTGGCTCCGACACCCACCAGGAGCCATCAGCTGGCCAGGTGAATGTCGGGGAAGCGCTGGCTCCCTGAGATCCACTCCCAGCCCCAGGGTACCTCTCTGTCATCCATGCAGCCACTGCCTTGCAAGCTGGGAGTCAGGTGATCAGAAACCACCTCGCAGCTCAGGGTGGGGGTACAGGGGTGTTAGGGTGGGGGGCATGAACCCCTGAGCCTCTTTCCTAAGTCCCAAGAATCTAACACAGCCTCCTGGTCATTCTCCCTCAGGACTGAACAGATACTGGCAAGCCCCAGACCTGTAGCAGGCACTCGGGGTGCACTGGGCGGCAACAGCTTGCCTTGTGGAGCTGACATTTGAGTGAGGAGTGTAAATGGTGGAGACAAATGCCGAACAGCAGAATAAGTGAAGCACACACATCAGAAAGTCAGGGCTGCTACAGCAAAAGCAAGCTGGAGCATGGAGGCAAAGGCAAGCCTCAGAGCAGAGAAAGCAGGCAGAAGGGCACACTGACATTCCTGACACTGCTTGGGTTGGGGGTCTCACACCGCCCACAGGCTCGCTGTTTTGCTAGAGATCAAGGGACCCTGCATCTAGCTCTAGCCACGGCACAGCTCAGATTTATGACAGCAATGCAGCAAGAGAAGAGACAGCCCCGGGGGAGCCAGGAAAAATCCAGGCCAGGCTTCCCCAGCACTTGCCCTCCAGGGAAGAAGGTGCTGTGGAGCAGCGGGTCCTTGCTGGCAGCACTGCAACGCGCCTTCTGCTCAGAAAAGCCTGGTGCCGACCCCTGCCCATCGCAATTCCACACTCACTAAGGGAAGCAGGAGCTCACCAGAAATTCCCGTCTGCGCAGTCTGGGCCACCTGGCACAGCAGGCTCCACCCAATCCCCAGGGGGGGCCCCAGGGGCCAGGCAGCGCTGGCCTGGCTACGCTGCTTCCTTCTGCACTGCACTGGAAGGAGCCCTGGGCCAGGCAGCAGTGGCCCAGCGAGGGCTGCAGTGGGAACAAACATGACCTGTGGGAAGGTCAGGCATCCCTGCGGCTGAAGGAGAGGGCCACTCGAGTGATGGAAGGGGAGAGCAGAGGGCACTGCGGGCCTCGGTGAGGACAGTGCCTTTCTGGGAGGAGAGTCATGAATGGCTGGGGACAGAGGAGTAGAGGACCCTCAGGCAGCCATGTGAGGAGATGGGGGTGGGTGGGTAGGGGTGGCAGCAAGGAGGCCAGGCTGGCAGCAGTGGCCACAGTAATGTGAGTGACAGCAGAGCTGGTGGCTGCGATCTGGCAACAAGAGAGGAGATTCCGGATGTGTCTGAGAGGGTGGGAGGCGTGAGAGGAGACAGGGAGGGCCCTGGGGCCCCGCAGATTCCTCCATTTTAACATTAGCTACCTGACAGCTCTCCTTTCGAGTTTTGGATTTTTGAACTTCACTGGTCCTAGAAAGCTTGTCCTTCCCTCCCTAGCGCATGCCAGCTGCACACTTCGTAGGCTCCTCTTTATGCCCTAATTGAAGTCCTCAACTGTAAAGGAGGCTGGTCGGTCTAGAGATCTGGCCAACCGAGGGTTCCAGAAAGAACTCAGCCTGAAGAGGGGCCTGACCCTGGGGCGCCTGCCCACCATTACCACCCTCCCTGCAATGCGGGGCCCACTCCTCTCTGTGCCCCCTGAACCAGGGACCCCTGTAGGCCGGGCACCACTGATGAGAGGGGTGGAGGGAGGAGAGGGGACCCTGGGAGCACACCGCATCTGGGATGGTAGACCCTGATTTCAAACTCAACAATGCTTCTGAAAAATCACAAAGGCTTACCTTTGAATGCTGCCACCTCCCAGTGACCCTCTAAGGAGCGGTTCTGGCCGGTGACGACATACTGGTAGCCAACCCACAACCTGCGACAGGGCAGAAACACAGAGCGCCTCAGCACGACAGCAGGGCAGCGGCCACCGATGCTGCTCGAGCGCATTGCAATAGCTACGCTGACCACCACAGTGCTGAACTCCCCCCGTACTAACGATGTTTAAAAGATTTTGATACTTCATTTAATAAAATACATTAGAATGCTAAACAATAAAAAATTTTTAGAAAGAATTTTATCTTGAGTGACTCCTGCCAAGACCGTCCTCATTCGCTGACCCGATGAAGCTTTCACATTCAAGGCAAGACCAACCTTATTCGGGGCAGACAGAGCCCTGGGAGCACAGCTCTGTGAATACACTGAAGGGAGAGAACAGCACCCTCGAATGGAGTGAATCCCATGGTACGTGAATTAATCTCGACAAAAACGAAAGCCCTGTGAGCGCACACTGCAGTGGGGCGAAAGCTCGCTCACGGCCTCCTGCTGGGTCACCTGCTGGGATGCAGCTCGCCCGGGGCCGCGGCTGCTGCTGAGCACCTCGGAGCACTGCCGGCATGGTGTGTGCGGACCCGGTCGACCGCCACAGCCACCTGTGAGTGTGCGCACTCACCCCAGCCTTTGGCAGGTCTACTGCCACCAGGGGTGGGTGGGGACCCTGGCAGGGTGCCACTTTGCCCCTTTGGCCTACTGCCACACCCATGCCCACCTTGAGGAGACGGAGGGCTTCCCCACTCACGGGGCTGAGCCCTCTCGGTTTATCATAAACTGACAACCACCCTATGAGCTGGGAGTTATTCTCACTTCGTAGCTGCAGAAGAAAAACAGCATGGTCTCACAGTCTGCCGGTGTCGTGGCTATGAGGGTAGAGCCCAAGCCCGGCTCTGGTCTTAAAAAGAAGGCTGCGTTCACCTGATGTGGTCACCTCGTTCCGGTGGCAGCACGACAGCCTGTCCTGACGCCGGGAGGGAGTGCAGGGTCTGGGACCCCTGCGACTCACACTCCTGCCCCCAGCAGCGTGGATGGGGCAGCAGGAGGCCTGAGGGGGTCACGGGCCCGGCTGTGGAGCCAGACTGGGTGGGAAGCCGGCACAGCCCCGTGAGCATGAGCCCGCAGTCTGCCCTGGTCCCCGCCTCCGCCTGCTCACCCGCCGGCCTCTGTGGTTTCTGGGAGGACTGAGCCCATGGAAAGCACCGAGTGGAGGGCCTGGCAGAGCCCAACTTCTCAGCAGGGACCACTGCCCGCCTGTGTACCCCCTGCGCCGGGCCCACAAAAGCCCACACTCAGTAGCCCCTCTTGACATGGGCTGGATCCCCTTGCAGGTGAGCAGCAGCAGAACCTACAGAAGAGGACCAACAAAAGGGACTGGCCCAAGGCGACACAGGTGGCAGCCCATCTCTGCCCTCCCAAGACGTCCCACCCCAGCTCAATGCCCACTCCGCACCCTGGGTCTCTGTTTCCAGGGGCGGAGCGCTCTTCGCCCATTTGCCGGCTGCTGGTTCAACCTTAGGACCACGACAGAGACCAAGAGGCCATGTGCTTGGTGGACGACGGCCTGACCCTCAAGCTCCTCATTCCCCTCCCAGGACTTACTTGTGCTGGTCCTGCCAAGCAAAACTCCGCTCCGGCTGGTCCCATTCCTGAGCCAGGACAAAACGCAGCTCCTGGTCAGTGGAGAAGGTGGCAAGGGAGCCATTGACGCGCTGGCAGGTCTGCACAGCGTCCCAGTAGTTCTCCCCACTCAGGTAGACCCTGTAGCAACTGGCGGTGCCTTCATAGTGGTGCCACCCTGTCGGGCACTTCCCTAGGAAACATGAAGGACGGGGGGGAGTTGACCCCCAAAATTAGGATCCGCACTCCAAAACAAAATCACACACACTGCTCAGAAATCACTCTAGAGAAATGGGGAAACTGAGGCTCAAGAGGACAAGCTCTGCCTCTAAGACCACATACTCGGTGGAACACTTGCTTCTCTAAGATACAGATGTAAGCAAAGGTCCAAGTGCATCCAGTGAACCCTCCCATTTCTATAAGGTCTTTAATTTACTTGGTAGTAAAGACTGGCGGCCGAATTCCTTCAATAAAGTAGATTTCATTCTCTGATGAAGTCTGGCTGACCCGGCGGCAGAGCAGCCCACACCAGCCCCTGCCCACGGCACCCTCACTGCCCCAACGCTGGCTCCGAGTCTACCCCTCAGCCCTCCTTCTCCGTTCACACTGGTGCTGGCCCGCACTCTCCTAAAACGGGAGCTTGGGAGATCAGAGCCAGGAGGGCCACTGAGACGGCAGACCAACTCCTGCCTCCCACAGATGAGAAAAGGGGGCCCTGGCAGTTCCACGGTGGGTGAAAGCCCAGCTGCCAGGTACACCCACCCCTGGGGGCGACCAGGCTCCAGGACACACGGCTGTGGCCGAGGGTGAGGGCGGCAACCTGTTCTGCAGGATCTGTAGCCTTCGAACAGTGGGGAACCTACCTCCTAACTATGAGTACACTGAGGAAGAGTAACAATTTTTTTTAACAAAGCCAGTTAATAAAATACAATTTTTTGATGTAGCTACATCATGTGAAACTAGTAAAACTTCTTAAAGCTCATGTTTTTATTATTTAGAGCACGTGGGTATGAATTACAAACAATGGGACCGAGATGACAAGAGAGGAAATGTACCTCTGGCCCCCGAGCCAATGAGACACGCCCCAGCACGGCTGCAGTGCCGACAGTGGGGGGCCTGCTCACACGTGACAGAGCGCACAGGGAGGCTGTCGCCGGAGATGGGGGCCAGCCCTCAGGACCAGAGAGCAGGGGAAGGGGAGGTATGTGTCATGTGAGTACAAGGGGACCACCAGGCCTTTCACTGCAGGTTTTGTAAGCCCCTACCACCACGATGTGTTTAACCTGCCACAACCCCCACACATGGGTGCCATCCCGTCTCCAGGTTAGAGGTGGGATCACTGAGGTGTGCAGAGGCCAAGCGTCTTGGCTGGTGAGCGTCAGTTCAGGGTTCTATTCTGCCTCCTCACTCACCTCCCAGGATGAGTTCAGAGGAGGTTCCCCGGGGACAGAAGCCAATGCGTGGGGGCAAGGGAGAGAGGGAACATCTGTATTTGCCTTTTGAACTTTGTGGGATTATTCCCCAGGTGAATATTACCTATATAGAAGAAAGCAGTAAGTGATGAACAGAAAGTGCACAGGGCCAAAGGTCACGCTTCCATGGGCTGCCCCACTGGCCGTGTGGCCTGCCAGGGGCCAATTCCTCTCTCGCCAAGCTTGCACTAGGCCCCTGTCAAAGGGGCCCTGACACTAGACGCGTGTCAAAGGTCCCCAGCACTGAGCGTCTGTGTGGCCAGGAGTGACAGGACCACCCAGCACCCAGGCCCAGCATCACATGTCATGTCAGCTCCTCCTGTCCTGGCAAGTCGCTGCTCATCACACCTACCACGCACGGCATCGTGCCTACGCATGTCTATTGGCTGTGGTTTTTCTGCCTTCCGACCTTCCTCAATCTTGTTACATGCCTTTAAAATCTTAATGTCATAGGAACCTGTGAGTAGTCACTAAAAAAAATGTTTATAAACACTGGTACAGCCTTCCCATGCCACCAGCTGTACCTAGTTTCTTGGAGCCAGTTTACATCTACGGAAGGGCTCTGCAGCCCTGCTCTGACAGGCAGCCGTCCTGTGAAACTGAGCAGCCTGGCACTGGAGGCCAGGCTGGCACCAAGGCCTCCCCATTCTCAGCCCGGATGGCCTTGGGTGGGTCACGGCACAGACTCTTAGCAGAGGAGGAGGATGCCCAGACTCCTTGAAGGGCTGTTTTAAAAGACACCCCCATGCTCTCTGCACAGCCGAGGGGCACTGGGAGAGCCAGGGTCCGCATGGGGTTGTGGGGCTTCGGTCATAAACAGGGCAGGTCTGCAACTTACTGCTGAAGCGAACAGGTTGCGCCACATTCACCGCGTGGAAATGCGTGGGGTCGCCACCTCGGGCCCGCCCCTGCCTCGAATCCACAGCCTCCTTCCCATGGTAAGGACGTGAATCCCCGGTCACTTCTGGAAGCAAAAAGAGAAGTGGCTGTAAGCACGGTTCTCGCAGCAGCGCGGCCAGACGACCAGACGTGTGTGTCAGCTTAAGAGCTCTACGAAATGTCACTGTTTGCATCAAATGGGCCACAAGCGTGTCTTACTAAAACTACCCCTCGACAGTCTTCATTTTTTCACTGCTGCTGTGAAATAAGGTCTTCCCCCCAGTGCGGTCTCGGGCCGCTGCCACTGGCACAGCACAAGGTCAGCCGTTCCTGCTGTCTCTCCCTCAGGAGCTGAGCCGCATGGAGGTTTCTTCCAGACCCTCGGCTGTCCTCCCGCCCCCAGACTGCCTAGGAGCCTCCCGTTAGCACGAAGGGGGAACTGCTGTGTGCGGCCCTCTCGGCACTGGGCCTTGGCACACTGCTGCCGGGCTCCCTGCGCCTGGCACAGGCCCTGTGTGCAGCAAGCCTTGAGGCCTGATTGGCAGTGGTAGCAGGAAGCTGAAGATGAGGAAGAATTCTACTTTTATGTATCACGGTTTAAGAGTAACTTGCAGGGCGGTCCTTGCAGTCTCTCTGGGCTTCTCTAACCCCCTGTAGGGAAGAGCCAGAGGCAGTGTCCCTCCTGAGCCACCCTCCTTCCCACTCTGCCTGCACGAGGGCTGCCTTGGTGCACAGCAGGGACTATTCTGGTGCAAGGCCTGGACAGACAGTGACAAGCTGGGTCTGCACAGCTACATACGGAGCCCTCCGTGTGCATGGCTAGCCTGAGGCAAAGGATACGGAGGTGTGGTTTGGCTTGGCAAGGGGCGTGGCATGGCATGGGGGACCATGGTCAATTAAGGGCAAGGGGTTGCAGGGTAGGGTGGTGTCCCATAAACCCAACCTCCCTGACTCTGTGGCTGGCAATTAGCCCCACTGACTAAAGCTTTACTAGCCATCTGCTTCTGCTAGCCACAGACTCCAAACATTCTATTTTAGGGTTTACTTTGTAAGCTTAAGACTACAAATAGCCCTGGCTGGCATAGCTCAGTGGATTGAGCACAGGCCTGTGAATCAGAGAGTTGCCAGTTCAATTCCCAGCCGGGGCACATGCCTGGGTTGCAAGCCAGGTCCCCACTAGGGGGCACGCAAGAGGCAACCACATATTGATGTTTCTCCCTCTTTTTCTCGTTCCCTTCCCATCTGTCTAAAAATAAAATAAATAAAATCTTAAAAAAAAATAAAGTGGCAATAGTTTAAAAAAAGTTTAGGTTGTTTGCATTCTCCTATTACTCTGCGAAGGAATTACTTGTACAGAACTGTCTGTGCCTCGTTGTTTCCTTCTGAGACCTGGGCAGCTATGAACCCTACCCGATTTGGTTCTCTTCCCCGCTAAGTATTCTGGAGAGTATTTCCAGCTCCATCTCGGGCCCTGTGATGGGAATCAGGTGCCATTTGATTGTGAATCATTCTAACATATATAATGTCCTACCATCGTCTGAGACACGCTCAACACAAAGCAGAGACCTCAAAGGAGAAGCATCTTTAAGGCTTTTGGAGCCACCTCGCCACCAACACAACCACCTCATTTGCTGCTTCCCCTGCAGAAGGTGCCTGAGGCTGCAGCTGCTCCCATCACCAGCCCCAGGGGCCAGCGACACCCTCTCTCTAGGACCGGAGTGCCCCACGCACACATCCTGAGCACACTGCTCCTGGGCGGAGACAGACAACTCAGGCGCAGGGACAGCACCACAAAGGTGCTGCCTCTTCCCCCCTCCCCCAGGCGGGCGGAGGATCAGGAAGGTCCACAGTGGCCTTCTCAGGGAGGGTGGCCTTGAATGAGGGAGGCAGACAGAAGGGCTTCCCAGCAGAGGGCACAGCTGGGGCACAAGCAGGCATGTCTGGGACAGGCTTAAGGACAAGCCTGGGTGTAGCAGAAGCCACGCCTACATCTCACATCTCCCTCCTGTCTACTCAGATGAGCAAGACCTGTGATTCCACTTTGCGTCCTGGCCTCTTTCCCAGATCAAGAACAGCCTGTCTGGGACAGGCAGTGATGCTCGCGGAGACACAGAGGGACCCGAACAGTGACTCCCAACCTTTTCCATCTCATGACACAGAGACTAATTACCAAAAATCCGTGGTGCACACAAAAATGGAATTTTTGCCAGCCCGACCAAAAAGTGTGATTTTGATTCATTCACAAGGGATGGCCACTGTTGTAGTGACTTGTTGTTTTTATTCAACAATCTAAGGAAAAAGACATCAGTATCCTTGACTAAATAGGTACTGCATGTTTTAAAAATTCTTGTGGCACACTGGGTGAAAAACCGCCGATCTAGGACAGAGGGGCGAGAGAAAGAAAGGTAACAGCGTTCTGCGGGGTGACGTGGGTACTGAACACTGCCAGGTAGCCCAGATGCCAACTCTGTGGGCGGGAAGCCAGCTACAGCACGCGGGTGAGGGGGCGACAGGTGAGATGGTTAAGGAAAGAAGGCCTGGTGGTGATGGAAGAAGTTACTTTGTGCTGAGCAGGCTTCTCTGCGCTTTGGGGAGCAGTTCGGAGCCCTTCTCTTTTCCATCACTCCTCCTTCTGTCCCGATATCTGTATCTACCCACTCACCACTCACTCACTCGGCGCCCCTTAAACGCTGCAGAGGAAACCCACCAGCACAGACATAGCCCTCTGTCAGCAAGCGGAAGGGGTTGGCCGAGGAGATGGTGCTGATGATGGACAAGGGGCTTCCAAGTGTGCTGGAGAAGCAGGAGATGGAGGCAGCTGGGGAGGAGGCAGAGCTAGGATCAGCATACTTAGAGACCCCGATGATCACCTCTGACCATCAATAATTTGCTTCTGAGACCCAGACAGCATTTCGCCACTAGGGGACGGTGGGCAGCTCTCATGGCCAAGCCGATTCCCGGGCAGCTCTGCAGACACCCCAGGCAGACTTCCCTCTCGCGCTGTCCCTCTCCACCTCAGTGCGCCAGGCACTGTCCCAGGCATCAGGGAACACGGCAGTGGGCAGGGGACAACAGTGAGGAGGAAAGGGCAGTGTTCTGCTGGTGGGAAAGCAGGCTCAGTGTTAGGAGACCGGCCCCAGAGCAGAAGTGGAACACAGGGAGGTGGGCACCCCTCCTCCTCCAAGTCCACGGGTCCTGAGCCCCCCACTTCGTGGCTTGGCCACCTGACCCTCTGGGTAGCCACCTCCTCTCCTGGCTTTCAGCTCCACTGGCACCAGGCTTCCTGCTTCCCCAGCACACGCCTCAAAGGAAAGCTGGGGGCTGCTTGAGAGCCTCAAGTCTAACAGGGAAACTGAGTCGGGGTAGGGGGTGGCATGCAAGAAAAAGACAAAACGTGGTTCTGATTTGTGTTTCTAGGACTTGTCTACAGCGGGCAGAGGACTGAGCTCCAGCACTCCAGGCTGTCAGAACACACAGCACGTCCCTGCCTGACATCGGAACGGGTTTAGAATCGTGGTCAAAAGCCCAGTGTTACTTGGAAAGTCCAATAACACCTGTTACCAAGACAGGATTTCTGACATGAAAAAGCCCCAAAATATGAAATCCCTAATGGTACTTCCATGTCATACCTGTTCTTTAAACCGATGCTTTTTCCTCCCAGCTAGGACCACAGTGGCCTTGCTAGTGAGAGCAGGCCGGGTGTGCTGGCCCAGAGGCCGCTGTCTCTTTCTGTTCTATCAGAGTTTTGAGACCTGTGCTTCTGAAACACCAACATGAGCACTTCTGTTCTCCCACTTCACTCCCCATGGGGACACACATAACACAACACAGAGAATCACTGCACAAAGTCGGCCCTGTAAGCTCCAAAGCCTGCCTCACTTCTATTGCTTCTGGGTCCACAAATGCCTCCAGCACAGGTTCACAGAGGGAGTGGCTTATCTTCTGTTACTGCCCCTGACAAGACCTGAAGCCACCAGACAGTCCTACGACACTCAAGCTGTGACCTTGTGTCTCAACTGCCAGCCGAGATATGGCAGAGGCAGACTGACCTGGGTAGGATAGTTCACCCCAGGTCTTAATTCCTACCATGTTCATCACAAGGTTAAACAGAAAGCCTGCTGACCCTCATCCCAGCCCCCTGTCCCTAAACATTTCCCAGAGCCAGCTATTTCCCTTCACCTCTTGATGGGCTCACTGCCTTGTTGTCAGGGTGGGCAACGGTTTAGCTCACACAGGCTCTCACCTTCCCAACAAGGGAGAACCAATTTCATAATCAAAGCTAGTAGAATAACGTAATAATGTATCTTTACTTGTGAGCCAAATAGGATACTAAGGTTATTTAGTATCCTAAATAATTGATAGTTGAAAATTGAATTGTCAATTTCCTCCCAGAGTTAATATTTGCATCGATTTTTAAATTTACTTGGTTTTCTGTATAGCTACATTATTTTTTCAGCTGCTATATAGTAGATAACAAGGTGTAGCAATAAAAGCATTAAACACTCAAAAAAAAAAAATACCGCATCAGAGTCTCCCGCTCCACCTGGTTTCCAGAAAGCCTCTCCTGCACCCCACCTTCTAGCACCATCTGCGCTAGAGGATGGCGGGGGACCCAGGGGTCGGTCGTGCGCTGCCCCCGTTCTGGGACCCTGTTCCGGGACCCCAGCCACCTTCTTACTTGCTTTACTCTCTTTTACAAGACCACACTTTCCTATGAAAGGGCAGAGCAACTTTATGAGTCTGTCCAGATCTGGAAACTTCTGAAAGTTGAAGCTTCTAGTTAAAGATATCATGTTGAACAAACATATTTATTAACCTCTAGTCTCTCCTGAAACTCATTAAAACAACAGCAATAGGACTTTTTAAAAGGCACATAGTCCAGAAGACAAACAGAACGCGGAAGAGGATGAATGACAAAGTTCTAAAACTGGAAAACAGAGGACAGAGTGGTAATTAGCTTAGAGGAGGTAGCCACACCCTGTCATCTGCTTGGGGACAATGCCTGTTTATGCTGCTGTCCTAACATCCTATTCTAAAGTGTTTAGTATTTGTCAGTCTCAAAACTGTTTTATTTTGGAAGCAAAT